CAGGCTTGCCATGGCACTGGCCAGGCTCTGAACTTGATCTTGATGTGACTTGACTAGCATCTCACCTGGTTTCTTAGGTCCTCAAACATGTATTCTATTTAAGCCCTTTCCTTCCTGGATATTGAGGGAGAATGTCCTTTTTTCATACCTGAAGGTGACTAGAACAGAGAGAACCCCAACATATTATAAGTGGCATCACGAAGGAAGGATGTACCTCACTTTTCCAGGGCTGCAGAGCTGAGCTCAGGCTCACCATGAACTTTACTTTTACACTGTGTAGTCACAGCTGACATAAATGGAGAAATGAGGAAGTTAGAAAATGAAAGGTAGCAAGTGAGGATTTCCCCCTTGTCAGATTTAAGATCTTTATGTAGCAGGAAAATGCATGTGTTTTCAAGTTAAAATTGAACTGCCTGGGTATTTTCCAACCCCCTATTGCTTGCTAGAATGATGGCTGGAGGGGGTTAAAAAAAAAAAAAGGAGAGGGCTGCACTTTCCGCTGTCCAAATTTCAGTGAACCAAGCTAGACTGGGAATCAAAAAGAGAAGAGTGGAACCATTATGGCCTCAAACTTAACTATCTGTAAGGGGAAGAAAAAAAATGTAAAGTAATCTGTTATTAAATGTTATTTGGATACATCAAATAGGATCACAAGTAGACAATAAAATTTGCATAAATGGCTACTTTAAGAAAACCTTGTATCTTCTCAAATGGATTCTATTATTAAGTAGGAATGTTCTAAGATCTTACAAGTTGTTTCACTTTATTACATTCTTATTCTCATGAATTTCTATTGATGCTAATGATTCTTCCTATTGGGAAAATAGTATTTCTACATTTCAGCATAATTACATATTTAGCCCAAGATAGCCTACAAATAATTATCTTCTGCACATAATTATCTTGAATTAAACATTATCTTAACTCCATTTAGTTGCAAAACATTTTACTACAATTCAAATAAACAATTAAAATTTAATTTTTAAAATATTTTTTACAAATGTAAACATCTAGTAACAAGCAATTTTATCTTTTCAATCAGTTTTTCCTCTTGACATATTGTATTAAAATATATTATAGCTAAATGTTCTACAATATGACTTCTAAATCAACAGAAAACCAATTGATCTTCAGGAAAGGTTAATTAATTTGGGCTAGAGGTCTCCTACTTTGGTCTGCATTGAAAGGAGTTTGTATTAATTGAAGAATTCTTTTCATAAAGAAATTTAGGAAGTATTTTTGTGGAATTGAAATCAATTTTTCAACAAAGTAAAGTTTTGTCACACCAGGAATACTTTTGTACTATATAGCTCATTCGTTTCTGTTAAGAACCTGAAGTAATGTTTTTTATATTTCAGTGAAATCAGTTGGTTATCTAGACTGCAGAAAATGAAAACAGAAGTTAAGAACTTTAATAGGATTTTGTTTGTTTAATCCCTCCTCCCACAATAATTCTCACCAGTTTATTCTGCTATGAGGGGATTACGAGGAGACAATGTAAATTAAATTTCATCCTTGATTTAAACACTGTATTAGCCATCATGTAAAAACCAGACTGAGCTGCCTTCTACTTGGGAGCACTTCTATATTGTGTAGTTTCTGAATAGAAGTGGTGAGCTTTTCTTCTTCCTTATCTGTGTATAGTTGTCTTCTCATTTTATCAATTTAAAACCTGTTTCAGGACTGGAACAAGGTGAAAGTAACATTTGAAGTTTCTTCCCCGGCCGTATACTCATTCCTAAACATTATTTCCTTCTTTCTAAAAGCATTTGCTCGGTGGCATTGTCAGTGGATCGGAGGGCCTCGGGAGCTTTGCACTTGGGTGTGTTGCAAGTTTTTCCTTTCCGCTCCCTCCCACCTCCTCCCGAGACCCCTCCCCCACGTCGGACGAAATTCCTAAATAAAGCGAGCCGGGTGGACCGCGGCCGAGCGGTCAGCATCCCCACCCCGGCCCTGGTCTGCAGGAGATTCCGAGGTGAAGAAATATAGAAACACGGTGAGGGAAAGCGGGGAGAAGGTCGCGGGAAGGCGGAGCACTCGAGGAAGGTCCCAGCACTCCCTCGGAACCACAGATGTTTTCCTCCTGGCCCTGGGGTTTGGCGCCCCAGCCCCAGGCGTCCCGGCGTTTGTGTGTCTGGGTTTCCGAGCAAAGGATTACGCAGCCGGAGCAGCCGCAGCAGCCGCGGCAACGCGGGCGTTGGGGCCGCAGGAGCCGTAACGAGGTGCCTGGCCTTCTTTGTTGACTTTTAGGTCTTGGGCTCAACAGAAGATTTATTCGCTAGGAGGGGGAAATGCCCAAACAATGAAGAACTAACTGCACTTGTCACCTCGAGATGTATGTGGTCGTACGCGGCCCCCACCCTCCGTTCCCCAGCAAACGGCCGCCCTGACCCCAACCCGCGAAAGCGCGAACGCACGGGGACCGCCTCGCAACGTCCAGAGGTGGCCGCGTGCGCGGAAGATGCCTAGAGGTGTTTTACTGGCCAAGGGTGGCCGAAAACCGCGGCAGAAGCCCACGAGACCTGCACCCCGCGATCCACCTTTCTAGCTTCTCAGGCAGGTCTCCAAAGTGCCGCTGGACCTTACACCCGGGGCCTCTGGCCCCCGCAAGCCCAGAAAAAAGTTTTGGCCGAGTAAGAGAGGGAGAGCAAACGCTAAGGCCCACTTAAGCCTGGGAGGTGAAGGCAAGACATGGATATTGCTAGTACGTTAGAGAGAGGATGGGAACAGCGCGGAGGAGGGACGCGCCAAAGACAATTTAGATTCAGTGTGACGGGGTAAAGGCCTAGGCTCAAGCTCATGCCTTGTAAATTACATGTGGAATTCGAATTTGCCAACGTTTGTTTACCTGCTATCTAAATATAAAAAACTGTTGGGATTGAAAGCTTTTTCCTCTTTGCAACTTTAATATCCTTCCCAGGCCTCCAAATTAGGTTTTGAAATTACTCAAACCAGTCATTTCCCTCTCCTCCTTTCATTAGCTGAAGCGAGAGCTGGGGTTTGAGATTTCTGGATTTTTCTCAAGTGCTCCACGGCACCCCTTCTCTCATCTGGGGAGGCAATTACGCGGTAATTAAGGGACTCACACAGCTCTTTTTATCTTGTCCTCAGTGTGGAGTGGGGCGATCAAAGTAAAGGCTGTCCAAGTTCAAGCCCTGGTGAGGATGGAGTTCACACACAAGAGCTCAGGCAGGCCAGCCTCGGCTTGGGCTGGTGTTGTCATTGTTGATGTCAATCCTAACAAGTCTTACAAAGAAATAGGTGGACTGGAAAGTGAGCCTACTATCAAAGGAGATTAATGATTTTGTGATCTCAGGCAACTGTAGGAGTGTAAAGTTGCATTTAAAAGCTTCTTAGAAGGCAAACAAATCATCAGCTTTAAGTTCTCTGGAATGATATTTTTAGAAACAGTATTTTAAAAATATCTTCACACAACACAAAATAGCAGCTCGCGAAATGTTCTGATGGTACAAAGCTTCCCCTGAAGGAGTGGATTAACTGGCCTCCTCTCTGCCCTCCAAAGCGACCATGATGGTTAAGTTTGTTTCTCTTTTAATGTAAGGAGGGCTCAGGATCCTCTATTGTAGACAACTTAATTTTAACAGCCACATCTGATGTTTTAGTCTGACTCAAATACTTCTCAGATAAAGAAAAATGACATATTGGGAAAGAAGGAAAAGCACTTAAATTAATAGTATTAGATTTCATGGCAGAAAGACTCAAAAGAAACATAGAAGGCTTAAGTCCCCCTCAAAAATTGAGGTGAACATTACTGGGAATAAAGACTCTTTTAAAAAAAATCTTAATTATTGGGATATTAAGTCAATGTATCTATCCATTTTTATTGAATTTCTTTAAGCTTTTTTACTACATAAACACAATTTTATTTTAGATTATTTTCCTTTTTGTCACTTATATTCAGTGCCAGTCTTTGAAAAATACCATATTCAGAATACCTACTTTGGATTTAATTAAGGAAAATAACAAAAATCCTTTTTTGTTAACATTTGATTTATTTAAAGTCCTTAACTGCAAATGATCAAGAACATACTCCACACCTTAAAATTTATTATTTTGTTATTTAAATCAAAATATTTTAATTACAATCACATTGATAAAAATTAACATTTTAATTTGTACTTTTGACCATCATTTAAAGCAATTTCAACTGTAAAGAAAAAAAAGAATAAACCATGCAATAAATTAACATTGAAAAAGCAAAGAGGAATAATAATGAAACCCGTCTGGCTATACTAACACCAAGTCCAACTGTGAAAAGTGCATTAACACTGAATGAACAAGCACACGATGACAATAATTAAAATGACCACAATCAGTTGGATTTTGGAATCTTGGACCAAATTTTGAAATATAGCTCCCTATAACATCTCTTCTCCAACATTGTAGTGTTTTTTTCTGGAGAAAAAAATATTTTTTAAATGGTATAGATACATAGACACTAATTTTATACACATTACGTGACCTCGGAATGACATGACCATGGCACTCCGCAAAGCAAGGAGCAGAGTTGCTGAGAATGGCAGTTCTTCAGGGACTGATTCCCAGGGCTCCCTGTGGGAGGAGAGCACGAGGAGGGGGTGTCTTTGTAACCTCTTGGCCAGGCAACTCTTAAAAAGGTAGCATGTATACGACCTACCTCTATGTGTTATGTAAATACATGGAGGATGTCTACATACGTATCTGAGCATGTGCATAAACCTCAGTACATAATATATATGTATTTTTTAGATATCTGCTATCTGCATGTTTTAGAATGTAAGCTGAAAAACAAATGGCTATGATGTTTATAATCTGTTTTGCTGCATGATAGCAGTACTGTCCTTCAGTATTTTTAACAGCCCCTACTAATTGTTCCCTCACCCTTTGGGTTCTTATGGTTAAGAGTATTGCCATAGACCTGTAAACCTGCATGTGTGTGTGGGGGGGGGGCGGGTGCAGGGTGGGACAGTCAAGTGAGGAGGGGAAAAAAGTATAAACAAATACTTTACAAGCTTGAACATATTTCTTTTTTTAAATAAAATCTGCACACACTAGAATGCGTCTGGAGGGGGAAGAAGAAAGAAGGGGAGAGGGATAAGGAAGTAGGAGGATTTTTTATATACACTGTGTATCATTAAACATTGTGGAGGGGGAAAAATTCTGTTGGTTTGAGGTTGGTTTTCTTCCTAATAATATACACAAGGCATTTGAATAACAACAAAGTAACAGTCCTTTGCACTGGGAAAAAGATTGTGCACACACACACAAAATAAAAATAGTTTCGGATTTTATTATGCTGTTGTTGGCTTGGTGTGTGTGGTTTTATTCGCAGTTGGTTTTTTCCTTCTCTCCTGCTACAAGCACGGTCACGACAAACAAACCCCTAGTCTAGAAGAGCTAGGAAGTGTTTAGGACAGGTCTGGAATACACACCTTGGTAGTAGGCCGGCTCCAGGGCTGAGGGCTCGATGGGGCTTCTGGTGGCCACCGAGGCACTGCCCAGTGGCAGGCTGGCGGGCAATGCGGCGCTGTAGGGTGAGTACTGAAGCGCCTGCTCGTATGCCTTGAAGTCCAGCTTGTGCTGCTGATCCGAGGACATAAGGTTGTTGATGGAAAAGGGGTGGTTGAAGGAGTAATGGGGATCCCCTTTCAGGTGTAGCTGGGACTCGTGGGGTGCCAGACCATGCACTGGATGCGAGGGGGGCACAGATACCAGCGCCCCAGGCCCCGAGCTGATTGGGGGAGCGGCTGAGGAGGCTGGAGTCTTCAACTCCGAGGCGCCCCCTGTCGCCGTGGCCCCGCTGTGGTCCAGAGTCTGGGGGCTGGCGGCAGGCCCCGGGGCCGGCGCGCCCTCTAGCTGGCCGGCCTTACCGTGCACGCCCCGATGTAGCGGGGAGTCGCCGCTGCCATTGGCAGCGGCAGAGGGGTCCTTCCGGCCCTCGGGGCCACCCTTGGCACCGCCATTGCCCCCGCTCCCGCCCCCGGCCCCTGGCTGCTTCTCGCACTTGAAGCGCTTCTGGCGGCGCAAGTAACAGCCGTTTTCGAACATGTTGCCAGAGTCCGGGTGCAGCGTCCAGTAGGAACCCTTGCCCGGCTTGTCCGGGGAGCGCGCTACTTTGACAAAGCAGTCGTTGAAGGAGAGCGAGTGGCGGATGGAGTTTTGCCAGCGCTGCTGGTTCTGCCGGTAATAGGGAAAGAGGTCCATGATCCACTGGTAGATCTCGCTCAGCGTGAGCATCTTGCTGGGGGCCTGCTGGATGGCCATGGTGATGAGCGAGATGTACGAGTAGGGTGGCTTGGCATGCGGGTAGCTGCGCTTGAAAGTCTTGGCGTCGCCACTGCCCCCAGCCCGGCTGCGGCCCAGATTAGACGGCGCGTATGCCATGGGGCTCATGCAGGGGTTCATGGCCGCGGCGTAGGGGCCCAGGCCGTTCATGGAGGCCGCAGGCTGCGCGCCCATGGCGCCCATGCCGCCAGGGCTCAGCGTCGTCCCCATGGCTGTCACTCCCGCCGCTGTCATGCTGTTCATAGCGCCCGCGGAGCCCCCAGGCATGCCAGCTACCGTGCCGGGGCTCAGGCCGGCGCCCAGGCCCGGGTTTGCATATGACATGTTGAATGAAGCTGGGGTCATGTTGCCGCTCGTGGTCATGGTGTTCATGGTCATGTAGGTGTTCATAGAATTCATGGAGCTCAAGCCCGAGTTCATGTTGCTGACCGGGACCGAGGTGTAGGCCTGGAGTGGAAAGCGAGTGAAGAGGCCCCAAGGGGCATGGTTAGCGGCGTGCGAACCCCAAGACAAGAGGAGAGTAGTTCTGCAAGGCGCAGTAACCCCTACCTAGGGCGAACCATCAGACACCCTCCTCAGGCCAAGCAACGAGATGTTTTGCATGGCAGGTAAGAATCCTAGCATGGCAAGCATGAAAGACGGTGCTCACAGAGAATGTTCCCAGGAAGATGTGTAATTGCTTTACACGCCTGCCTCGGGGGGCCAGCTTCTGGGGTCCCCGCATCTCCTCTCCCCGGCCTCTGCCCCAGATAGCCTCTGCAAACTAAGTGCACCCTTGGTTAAAAGGAATTAGAACTCTGAAAACGGAATTAATCTCTGACCCTCTGGTAACTCACTCCACCTTAACAGTAATTTTGGCCGCCCAGCCCCTAGGATGGGCACCAGGGCACCAACCTGCCAGGCTAGCTGACCACAGAGCAACCTGGGATCTGCAGGGTAGCTATTAAATAAACTTTCTCTCATAGAATAAAGCATTCATGGCCATATGATCATCCATTTCCCAGCAGCAGGCTTTACTGTCCTAGCAGTTTTCACCAAACGGTGACTTGTTATTATATTTAGAAGTAATAGTTTCCATCTACCTGTAACAACTGTAATACTAAGATGATTAGAAACTCAGAGGTTAAATAAATTTGGGCAAAAAATTAAAAATAGGCCTACCACAGGAGAAGGGGCAGGAAGGGTTGCACAGTATCAATACACTACACGTATTTAACTTAAATGTGACTTTACATGTACAACTGTTTAAGCAATTCAAACACTTCCACTAATTTCATTACATATTTCCAGTCCCCCTAATGTTTGAAAATTCTGTGACACAATTTGTTGAAATATTCATTCCCCCCACCCCCACATACAGATATGTTTCTGCTCATCATTTCAAACCCTGGCTAACAGTCTTGAACACTTTCAAATTCCAAAATCAAAGACTACTTATTTTCTACCTCCCAATAGGAAGTTCTTTTTCCATGGAGGACTTCACTGACTAGTGGGCCAAGATGACTGCATCTGAATTAAACCTGAGGAAGAGTTCTGAGTTCCTTTTAAAATCATCAGCAGGAGAAAAGCATTATCCATAGCAATTTTGGAAAGCACTAAATGTGCTAAAAACATAGAGGCCACAAATATAAAAAAGCTACTTCTCTAACAATTTAATAAAGATAATGATATCCTATTTTCATCAGGAAATATGACTTTATTTTAAAACAAAAGATGAACAAACGGATTTAACTAGGCACACACTCTCCTGTGGTATGCAAATAAAGTCCAGGTAAATTTGTGAAGATATGAATTTACAAACCTAAATAAATTACGATGAAAATATTTGCCGATTCCATATTTTTCCGTCCAAATCTTAAACTATTTTTCACTTTTTTTTCTTTTGCTCTGCCCAAAATTGTCCAAGGCAGTTTCAATAAGCATGTTCAATAATGGTAAACTTTTGAGGGGAAATCACCAGGTGTTTCCAGAGAAATACATTGGTGGCGGTCCTGCCTGTACCTGATTTTCCTCTCAATCCCTTTGTGCACATTGTAAAATAAACTACACGAACGTGCCACCATGGGGACAATGAAGAGAAACAGGTTCTCCACCCGCTGTGCTGGAGGAAAAGTCAGCTCGCACCAGCGCCACCCAGCGGTTTTAGAGAAGAAGGAGCACAGCTCCCCAAAAAGGGCTTTTGAAGAAGTTTTATAAAATTTCGGAATCGGTTCCTTATTAAGGTGTTCAACTCAGCGGCAGCGCTTTTTCATCAGAAGACGTCTGCGAATTTATCCGTGGGAGGAAGAGGTCGCCCTTGTAGGCAAACTCTGGCTTTCTCAGGTGGCCTCCAACTCGTGCCAGCGCCCGCCCGACAACCCGCGGCACCTCGGGCCCAGCTCCGGCTCGGGCTCTCCAAAGGAAGGGACTAGTGCTTCCCAGAGCGGGTGCTTTCAAAGCCCAGAATATCCTGAAATCCTTTCGCCCGCTCTGATCGCGGAGCACCGAGCTCCGGGTTCCGGCCTCCCTCGCGGGGCACCGGCTCGGGCTCCGGCTCCGAGGCCCGGCCAAGGCCAGGCCCGGGCCACACCAGGTGGGCGGGCAGCGGTGCCACGGAGGAGGCGCCCCGAGCCCGCCGACCGGCCGTCCTGCCCGGAGTCCGCGTCGCCCAGCCTCCCCCGGCACGGGCCCCCGGCGTGTCCCGCCGGCTGCTCTTCTCTCACCTCCTGTGTGTCCGCGTAGTAGCTGTTCCAGTCGCTGCTCTCATGCCCTTCCATCTTCACAGTTCCTAACATCCTGGAGCCACCCTGCCCGATGCAACCATACAGCCCTGTGCAAAGCGACGGGCGGCCGCGCGGCGCGGCGCGGGGCGGGGGCAGGGAGCCTAGCTGCTGCAGTCACCCGAGCGCCCGCGCCGGCCCAACGCCACCCTAGTGAGGAGGAAGCCAGGCGCTGCGGGGCGCGGCGTGCGCGGTGGCGGCGGCGCGGCGGGCGGGGGCAGGAGGCGGCCGCGGAGCGCGGCGCCCGGGAGCGCCTCCGCGGGAAGTGAGCGGGCGGCCTCTGTGAGACGAGTGCAGTTGAGCTGATGTGGATCTTACGTCGCTCGAGTGCCCACCTCCTCGTCCTCTCCCCATTTGTCCGCCGCACAAAGACGCTCGCACCTACAAAGCCCGAGGTGCACCTGCGAGGCGGCCGCCCGCCAGTACAGCCGCCGCGCCTCCCGCCCAGCGGCGCCGCCGCCGCGCGCGCCCCCTGCGCCCCCTCCCATCAGCCCCCTCCCCCAAACCCGGCCCTCACTTTGTTTGCAAAGCAGCGTAATTGGTTTAAGCCCGGAGGCTGAGGGAAGAGGGAAGTGGGGTGGGGGTGGGGTGTAACCCCCTTTGGAAGAGGAAAAAAGAAAAATAGGCGGGGCGGGCGAGCTAGCGAGGATTCTCGACGAGACCCGCTCAGCTGGAGAAGGGCTGGGGGCGGTGCCGTTGGAGCCCAGGCTCGCGGGGCTGTGCTCGCTAAATGATCCAGGGTCCCTCCCCAGGGAAACCTACCGCCTTTTGGATGCCCCGGCAGCACCTCGTCCCGCGCCCCTCCTGCTCTTCTGCCCTATTCCAGCCCCCACCCTCCTGATTCCTGACCTAAAAGCACAACTCCGGGAGAAGGGAGAATACAGACACCCACCTCCCACCCCTCCGGACTTCAGGCATGAAAAAGGAAAGAGCCCCATTTTTGCCCCTTCACTAGAAACTCGGCCATGTGAGTCAGCCAAGCCGAGTGACGTTAGGCCGATCCGGGCCCTGGTTAGCAGAGCGGAGAAGCTGCCACGAAACCCGTACCTGCGGCTAAGAGCAGGTGAGTCATAGCACCGTTTTATACCTTTATGACATAACTTTTTTTTTTCCGCCTCGGTCCGCTCTACTCCCCTTGTCATCTGTAGCAATCATAAAGAGGAAGAAACAGAACAGATGTCTGTGTGATAGGGCAGGCGGACCTGAGTCGGGCCGTCCTCCTTCTGCCCAGCTCCTCCTCCCACCCCCCTCTCGCAGCCTCAGGGACTGAGCTGGAGGCGACTGTCCAGTTTTTGATAGGGAAAGGTCAGGGGGAGGGGACATCTCCCCAAATTAGCGCGTGAGTTGGGAGAGCCTGGGCGCTGGTACCGGAATGCAACTCCTCTGCAAGAGAGGTGCCAAACCGAAGTCAGCAGTGGTCTTGGGCGCTGTCTGGTCCTACCTCTGGCTTGGAGGGGCCGGGCTAGGACACGAGGTGCTGGTTTAGTTCCTGTCGGTCCCGGACATCGATGGGAAGCTCTCTCCCGAGAAATGTTTTTTGGCTCCTATGAGACCCTGGGTAGTGGACTGCCCACAGTCCTGAGGAGTACCAACTAAAATGACTGGGTGATAGGCACTGAGGTGGTGATAGGTTGCTTGAGTGTGTGAGTTTATAGTGTGACCATGTGTGTTTCTGAATGTGCTGTATCCTCTGTAGAAGCACTAGGTTTCTTTAAGTAGCAATAAAATAAAATCTTTCTAAAATGACCAAGAACCCACCAAGTATTCTTGTTTGGCAAAGTTTTAGAAATTAGTCTCATTTTAAGAAATGTGTTTTAACTTGTCTTCCAAACAGATACCTTCCCGACTCCCCCCTACCCCCTTTGTTCTTTTAAATCTTTCTTCCTTGAAATCTGGCAACAGAATCAGGTTAAATCCTTGAACCAAACAAATCTCTTAAATCCGCAGGGGAGCAGAAGAGGGTGAAGATGCGCAGTTAAGGAAATAAAAAAAGATAAAAGCATTGGATTACAATCCCCCCCTTTAAAAAAAACCTCAAAATGTAGGGAGACATCACATTGTACGGAAAGGAATGAGAGTGAAATTAAATGCACCTGGAAAACCTGATCAGGCGCTCTCCCCAAATGCAGCCTGCCCCTCGGACTGCAAGTCAGCTCCATCAGTTTGTGTAAATGTATCTGCAAAGGTGTGGGTCCGCACATATTTCCCATCAGCTGCTGGACCTTAGTTGCATTTGTAAAGAACACCGGTGCTTAGCTTCCTCTGAAGGGGGGGTGGGTAGTGCGGTTTGGGGCTGGGGGCGTGAGTTTTCAGTGCTAATGAGCTTCCTTGTTCATTCTGCCTTGATACTCCAACGGCCTTTTGGAGACAACCTCGAGCATGACTAGGGTACTTTTCAGTAGGTAGTGACAACTTTGTTTAAAAGGTTTTATGGTTAACAAAAAGCCGGTGCTTTAAGGGGAAGGAAAAAAAACCGCTGTACCTTAACGGGGTTCAATGAAAGGACTCAAGTATTTTTCTCTTATCCCATTTGCCATCCCTACTAGGCCTCATCTCAAAAAATAAATAAATAAATAAAAATCACCTTAAGGAAAAAAAAAAAAAAGCCCCCGATTCATAGCGGAATAGTCAAAGCGAAGTTTCTCCAGAGCTTCCTCAAAGCCCAAGACCTGTGGGAAAGAGTGAACTCGGCCAGCTTTAGAGCCTTGATCCAGCTTGGGGGTTCCGAGGTTCCCGGGGACAGAAATCACAGTGATCACAGCGCCTCCTGTCGTGGGGACGAAACGCTGAATCCTTCCTCCCGGATCGCGACCCTAGGGAGCTTCATCAGGGAAGACTGCAAACTCGCACGCCTCTCTCGGCCAGATATTTTGGTTCTCAACAGCTGAATGACTGTCCAAGGCCTAGACGGAGAAGAGGCAGCTCGGTTTGCTCCGAGTCTGTCTCCATCTCAGTGGCGGTATTCCAAGACACCTAACCAATTTAGGAGGTGAGGGCTTAGTGTACCCAGATGTCAGCCAGTCATTTCCCCAAGGTTTAAAAGCGAATCATCTGGGCCTTGCTGGGTCTTTGATTTGGAAAATAAACAACAAATAAATAAAACAAAGCTGCCGCCTCCCGGTTGCTGGCCAGTCGGCAGCCAGGTGGCAAGCCTGGCTGCTGCAGCCTGCTGGTTTCCAACCTCTTCTCCCAAATAGGCCCTGTCCGTACGCTTTGCAGAAAACTGTGCCGCGTTTTCTGGGGAACTAGACCAAGGTTTTCAACCTTGGGGAGCCACGAGGGCAGCCACGTGGCGGCTTCTCGGGAGTCCGGGACCAAACTCATCTGGGCGAGAACGGGTCCGCGCGAGCCGGGGGCAGCCCAGGCAGAGAAGCCGGGGCGGTCCCGACCGTGGGGCGCGCGGGTCCTCCGGGTGCCCCGGGGGAAGCGGCTCCGCCCTTCCCGGAAGCTGCGCCTTCTACGCCCTTGGGGTCGGCTCCTGGCGTAGTGTCCTGGTGCGAGCAGGCAGCACGCGGTCCAGCGGCCAACCTCTGCCACCTCAGCTGCCCTTTCCCAGTGTTACCTGGCTGGGAGCCGCTTCCGCAGATCTTCACCGGGGCAGGGAGAAGGAGAGGGCGACGGCGGGGCGAGAGGCTGATGAAAGGCCGGAGGCGTGCGCCTCGGATCCAGACGGCTGCCTGGGGGCGGCGCCCGGGTCTTTCCCGTTTAGCTGGACCGCAGGGTCGACAGAAAGCAGGACCCGGGGCGGTGGGGTGTGCGGTGGCCCCTGGAGCCTTTCAAGGACTCTTTGCTCGGGTATTCCCTAGCCTGTGCCCCTTTCCCCGCCGACTCTACCCCCGACGGATTTCGTGGACAGATTTCTGCCGCCGCGGGCGCAGCCACGCCCGGGGCAAGTGGGACCGAGCTCCCCCGCAGGCCTACAGTCACCACCCAGTTAAGAAACGTAAATACTTAGCCTTCGGGGTGAATCAGACGCCATGAAACTAAGACCGGTCCTCACGCGGTGTAAAGCCGACCCGGACTGGGATCCGGGGTCAGCTTGGGACTGAGGAAGGCCTGGGACGCTGGAAGCAACTATTTGCTCTGGCGTGTGCCAGGCCCACGCGGGCCAAAGTGTGTGCCGGGCCGGGGAAGGGGACCCGGGCTCCGCGAGAGGGCGGACCCCGGCGCCTGCCTTCAGCCTCCCGCCCACACCTGCGAGACTTTCGCGCCCCACTGCTGCCCGGACCAGTGCGAGGGCCAGGGGCAGGAGAGAAGCTCGGAGCTCCCGCTCCTTCATCCCTTCTCGGCCTCTCTCCCCTCCCCCCAACCCCCCCTCATCTTTTCTTTTCTTTCTTTCCTCGTACTTGCCTTTCTCTGGCCTTCCTTCTATCTTTACATCATTAATTAAGAAATTAATTGACAGCTCCCAGGCGTCCGACCCTCAATCGGTAGGGGCCCTGGGACCATCGAATTGGCTCTGTCTTGAGGTTCTGTGCGGAGAAGTCTAATGTCCCCGGCCTCACCCCTGGCCGGTGTTTGTGTGTGCGGACCAACACATATGCACATATAAGGCTTCCACATTACTGAAAGAAATTTAATGTAACATTTTAATCCTAACTATTTACCACTGGGTTTGCCCCTTCCCCTACCGCTCCTGGAGCTGCCCGGCGCGCGTGGCTGGCTCGCCCGCAGCCGGATATCGGAGCCGGAGCTGCTTCCCACCCCCGGCCTCACCCTTGAGCGACAAAACCGTCCCTCTGGCCGTGAAAGAGCATCATCTTGCCAAAATCAACTTGCATTTTCATGTATTCAAATGAGAAAGATTGGGAAGGGCGACGTGCCCTCCTGGGCAGTCACTAGCCTTGGAAGGAAAGAGTAAGTGTCCCATGGGTCCCCGCAGAGAACGAGAACCTCTCTCCCTCGATGCCCGGGTAGCGCACAGGGCGCCCCTTCTCGGGCCTGGGTCCGTGCAGCCCTGGAGCGTCGCCAGCTAGCTGTGTTCCCTGAGTTATCGATTGCTTTCTTCACATCGATCAGCGCCAGGTCGAGGAAGTGCCGGGTCCCGGCTAGTCTCTCCTTACCACCCCTGTGCGCCCCTGGAACCCTATCCCTGCTCATTAGCGCCCGTACTTTCCTCTGGTTGCCTGAATACACTGGGGTTGGGGTCCTGGAGGAGGGAATGAAAATGTACACTTCAGACACAGAGTTGGAAAATTAGGGGAAAACGCCACAAATTTTAAGTCTTAAGAGCAGAAAGTGTATGGAGTAGCTGAGGCCTACTGTGTGTCACAGGCTGGGGCGAGGCCCTTTGAGATTCCGGCGTTTCCCCCCACTTGCTGCTTGGGGTGGGGGGTGGGAAAGGGTGGCAGAGAGCTGGGAGGCTGCAAGTCTGAGCCACGGTAGGTCGGAACCACGACTTCTCTCCACAGAGAAGCTTGCACTGAAAGGAAGCTATGATGGAAACTGAGGGCGTAGAAAACTGTAAGAATGTCATCTGTTGCCTCGAGGCGGTCAGCTTAAACTTAAATCCATCCTGAACCGTCTACTGCTATTTAGCTTCTTAGGCGCTCACCACCCGCCCACCCCCCACCCGACTCCCACCCCGCCCCACCATCCACCCGTTTCCCCTCGACACACCCGAGGAGCTTTCTCACGGCCCCTTGAACGACCTGGTGGTTTAACTTTGGCTATTCAAATGTGATTACCCTCAAATTTACATAGTTCTATTTAACAAAGCTTTTGTAACAATAAAAATAAATCATATCCAACATACAGAAAAAGAGGTAAACATGCATTCTAGGCAGGTTGTTTTTCATTGTAGTGGCTTCCTGATTCTCACCTGATTTTAAAATTGTTCTTTGAACTGACAAAAGACTAATTTATTGGTATGGCTGGAAGGTGGCTACATTCATTATTTAAAATTAAAATTCGATTCGAGGACACTATTCAGAGTGGCTTCTGGGACTTCCAGCAACTATCCCAGAACTAACATCAAAAGAAAGTTGTGCTTTAAAAATCGAGCATTTGTTTGAAGTAGCTTCATTTTTCTTGCCCTATTGGCCACAGAACAAAACCAGTACCTAGCTCACAGTGTGGTAAGTTTGCTTCTAAACAGAAATGCTAGGAAGAAGCCTCTGTGTCAGCATTCCATTTGGCTGGGTTACTAGCAAGATTTGCAGGAACTTTGACCACACTCTTTATGCTACAAGCCTGGTTGCCTACTATGAGGGGATCAAAGTA